AAACTGTTTGGTTACCAACATTCTTCAAAATATCTTATTTTGTGTTTTACGTAACAAAGAACCAAACAGTAATTTTGGTCTATACAATGGAAGTCAATGGGACTCAAAACTGTTTGGTTACCAACATTCTTCAAAATATCCTTTGAGTTTCACATAACAAAGAACCAAACTGTATTTTTAGTCCATACTATGGAAGTCAATGGGACTCAAAACTGTTTGGTTACCAACATTCTTCAAAATATCCTTTGAGTTTCACATAACAAAGAACCAAACTGTATTTTTAGTCCATACTATGGAAGTCAATGGGACTCAAAACTGTTTGGTTACCAACATTCTTCAAAATATCTTTTGTGTTCCACAGAAGAAATAAATGACATGAGGGGGAGTAAATTGACAGAATTCTAATTTTGAGGTGTACTATACCCCTAAGGGGGCCATTCATAGAGAATGTGTTTTTGCATTTAAAAATGAGAGACAAAGTGCAGAGGTAAAAAAAAAAAACCCACTAGGCATAGAGACACATTTTTTGAATGCCTTATTTGATTAATGTTTATTAGATGCTGCAAAACTTTTAGTGCAGCAGTCACACGTGTCTGTCTAGTGCATGTTTACATAGAAAAACTATGAAAAAGCAGCACAGTAGAATGCAAAAAAAGTGTTTTGTGTGAACAGTCCCTAAATAGGTAGCTACCTGATGAGCCCGATTAATGCAGTACTTTCAGTGACCTTTAGTTTTGGTGGTGCTGTGAAGTTGGGGATTAGAGTTGTGCTTTTGTTTGGTAAGAATTAATTCTTTCAAGCGGATTAGTGTCAGTCTGACTAAGTGTATTTGTAGTAGAAGCTTAGATCAGTTCAGACTGAAGCATGGAAACCCCCCCCCCCCCCCCCCCCCCCCCCCACCGAAGTCAGTCGTTTCATCAAACCCGTCTCTGATAAGGATCAGTGTTTTGGGGGGGAGAGAATTGCCCGCAGACTCAACCGTTCACTCAACTTCTTCTTTTTGTTTGCCTAGTCATTTAAATACCGGAAACAGGCCAATTATCTCATAACCGTCCAACTCTATCCTGAGAAACTAAGAGAGAAAATCAGCACAGCAGTCACAACAATGCTGTGAGAAAGACTGAAATAAAATACTGCCAGAACTAGTCTTCAAAGAGTCTGTGGTTGAGCTAACTTTGAATTTAGACTAATGAATTAAACGTTCTACATTTAAATCAGCAAAGCATTAAGAACAAGAAACTGATTGAAGTATTTGAAATAGGTTTCTCATTCTGTCATAGTGAAATGCGAGGGCATAACATAGTTCCTTTGTTATTTCAATCCCTTTCTTTTTCCATAAAGTCTACAATAAAGTCTGACTTTCTCCTGTATGGACTGTGATCTGAATTCTCCATCAGTCTCAGCTTCACTGAACCCAATAACCTCATACTCTGCTGTTTCTAGAACTAGAAACCTCAGTCATTTCTTCTATATTGTGTTTTTTTCTTCTTTTTTTAAGATTTGGGATGGTTATTTGTGAGGATATAAGAGCAATAACTATCACACTTTATATTTTAATACTTAACAAATCTGTTTATACTGGACTGAGGGGTTACTGTGTTTTTGTGACTGACTAAAAAATATGTGCAGGTGTGTAAGGAGAAGCACCGCTTTGAGAAGCTGATGGAGTATTTCCGTAGTGAAGATGGGAACATCGACTTCATGGTAGGTGCATGAAAGCACGTCAGTATTTTGTGTGAGACATGGATGTGTTTGACTTTGTGGTTTGTGTCTCAGGTTGCTTGTATGCAGTTCATCAACATTGTGGTCCATTCTGTGGAGGACATGAACTTCCGTGTACATCTGCAGTATGAGTTCACTAAGCTGGGGCTTGATGACTTCCTGGAGGTATCCAGTCAATGTTCAAACTGATCTAAAATCATTCAGTGTTTAAATAGCCAAGTAAAAAGGCAAGTTTGTTACGTAGATGTCTTTTTGTATTTTAAATACTATTGAATGATTCAGTCATACAGACGTCTGGAGATATTGTTAAACTCACATGTAACCACATGATAAAACATTAAGAAATCCCCTGTGTTTCCTTCCAGAAATCCAAGCACACAGAGAGTGATAAGTTGTCGGTGCAGATCCAGGCTTACCTGGATAATGTGTTTGATGTTGGAGGTCTGTTGGAGGACGCTGAAACAAAGAATGTTGCCCTGGAGAAAGTGGAGGAGCTGGAAGAACATTTGTCTCATGTAAGAACCATTATATACTCCCTTTCATTATTGCTGTGTTATTATTATACCTTATGCACTCAGCATACATCAGCAACAATGTGAAAAGTCTCAATGCTTACATTACAAAAAATGAGGTAGAGCAGATTGTTATAATAAATAAAAATGTATTTTAATAAATAATAATAAAATAAATAAATACATTTTTATTTTTAATTAATTAATGAATTTATTTATGGATAATCTTGCAATTTATTCAACGCAGAGTATATTAAAAAAAAAGTTGTGATAGGTCTATAAGTGCTTTGGAAATTCATAAGCACCACTATTTTTTAAATTTTTAAAAACTCCCATAAATATGTACATTTACTTTCAAAATTTAGGATCAGTAGTTTCTTTATATTTTTGACAGAAGTATCTTTTGCTCACTAAGGCTGTAATATATTTTAAAATGTGATTTATTTATGTGATGGCAAAGCTAAATTTTCAACTGTCATACATATTTTTGTGGAAGTTCAAAAGAACAGCATTTCCATAAAATGAAAATATTTTGCAACATTATAAATGTCTTTACTGTTACCTTTGATCAATTCAATGCGTCCTTGCTAAATAAAAGTATTTTCTTTACTGACACCAAACTTTCAATCTGTAGTGTATATATTATGATGTCATTATCGGCCAATTTTTTTATTGCACCAATTATGTTATAAATGTTTGCTTATATCACCACACTTGTACTTTGATTTAATTTATTCATAGTCCTAATTATATTAATATCCTATTTATGTCAGATCTGTAAATATTAATGCTAGTTTATCATATCACAGGTCAGTCATGTTAACACTTTTAATATCTTAATGACTTCACCTTTATCAGAGTTCACAGAGTTCAGAGAGATCAGGGTTATTTCCTAGTATTCACTCACAACATATAGCCTCGTGCATAGCTTAATCATTCACTTTTGGTGCAGAGAGATCTTAAAATATAAGTTATAATCTGACTTGCGGACTGATTGGGCTTATAAGTGTTTAGTTCAACAGATAAGGCTTGTAAATCAGAGTATGCAGAAAGCAGGCAGTGTAAAAACAAACCTCGGATTGTTCCTCTGATCTTGACTCAGTGGTGGGCCTTTCTGCTGGGCTGAGTTATGCTCATGGCAAAGGTCTTGAAATGAACAGAGAATCACACAACAACTCTTTCTCTTGCTGGGGGAGGAGGACTGAATTCCCCAAATATTCCATTATGTGTGTAATCTTCACTGCTTCAAAAGTGAAAATGATGCTACCTCATCTGCTGTGTCATACTGCTGGGAATGTTATTATTGATCCATAAGAGAGTGAGAGAGACAGAATGAAGCTTAAAAGGGTATGGGAGAGATGTTGATAGGATTAATGCTCTGAACCGCCTCTCTATCTTCACTAATTTTTGTTTCGCAGCCTCTCACGCTGTCATGTTTTCTCTCGTGCTCCTCCTTTTTTTGTTCTAGGTGACAGAGAAGCTTCTAGATGTTGAAAATGAGACCATGATGAAGGTAGCAGACCTGGAGAAACAGCTGTTACACAAAGACAAGGAACTGGCAACCATAAAGGTAGGCCTCAATCATTTATATTGTCTTCACTCATGAGCTTGACATGCAAATACCTCATATAATGATTTGTTTGTGTAATATGAATAAGTAATAGGAATGATGATAATGCATACAATGAAAATTTGTCAGTAGGAATGACTGATTATTAATCCTTTGTGGCTTTTTCGTAATCTGGTTACTAGATGTCTAAATGTCTAATAACAGAGTAAGATACCATGTTTTTTGGACGTCTATTATGGTATTCTTTGAAGTACCATCATAGAAATTACCGTTAAATAATTATGGTAATTATTCAGTGCAATAAACTTTTGCCTAAGTATAACTTTAAAACCTATACTGTGTTTTATTGCCTTGGTATCAGTTTACCAAAAACTGGTAAATGCTGCTCCGTGAGTGTTTCTAACAGCTGAAGGAGTGAGCAAATTTGATATTTGTCTCTCTTAATGACCAGCGTAATCAATCTCTCAATATTTTTACCTCAATTGGAAAGTCATAGAAACACTATTGTGGATTGTTTCTTTTGCTATTGTGGCAAAAATTGTAAATATCAAAATGATATTTGTTATAGTTTTCATTCACCACTATAGAAGTTTACCCAACTATGATGACTAATGCTTCTGAGACTCACAGAAATGTGAAAAAAGTCCATGGTATATATCAAAATAGAGTATTTACAGTAAGATACCATGTTTTTTGGACGTCTATTATGGTATTCTTTGAAGTACCATCATAGAAATTACCGTTAAATAATTATGGTAATTATTCAGTGCAATAAACTTTTTGGACAATTTTAAAACCTATACTGTGTTTTATTGCCTTGGTATCAGTTTACCAAAAACTGGTAAATGCTGCTCCGTGAGTGTTTCTAACAGCTGAAGGAGTGAGCAAATTTGATATTTGTCTCTCTTAATGACCAGCGTAATCAATCTCTCAATATTTTTACCTCAATTGGAAAGTCATAGAAACACTATTGTGGATTGTTTCTTTTGCTATTGTGGCAAAAATTGTAAATATCAAAATGATATTTGTTATAGTTTTCATTCACCACTATAGAAGTTTACCCAACTATGATGACTAATGCTTCTGAGACTCACAGAAATGTGAAAAAAGTCCATGGTATATATCAAAATAGAGTATTTACATGTGTTGTGTAGCTTTATTATTGCTAGGCTGAGTGAAAAGTACAATAAATCCTTGACTGGTCATTCTCATGGTAATGCAGGAGACATATGAGTCCACCAGCTCACAAGTGCACACACTGCGGCGGATGATCCAGGAGAAGGACGCTGCCTTCCAGAGGCACAATAACATTGAGAAGCAATTGCTGGAGCTGGAGCAGCAGGGCACCATCCGTTTACGCAAGCAGCCTGATGGGGATATTGCCATTGAGGCTCTGGGTGGAGGAGGACTGGTTGGTGGAGCATCTCTGGGAGACCTGGGCTTACTTACTGCAAGCATGAGTGGGAGTGGAGGTCTGCGTGTCACTACACCTGCTCCTATTGAAGCTGTTGCTCCACCTCCACCGCCACCACCACCTGCCCCACCACTCCCTTCAGAAGGTACTGAGTCTGAGAACAGCCAGGAAAATCAATTGTGTATGCGAATCGTGTGTGGTGTGCTATCAGTTACGGTTGCTTGACTATGAGATCTAGGAGATTTGATTTGAAATCATTTGATTTCAATGACGGACAAGGAAAAGTTTAGATTTGGCACCAGTGCAAGCTCACTGTCAATGGAAAACAGATATGTAAGGGTTCCCTCGAAGCTCAAGATTATGGAGAGTTATTGTAGTGTATAATAATCAGAAAAACAAGGCTCAGCTGTGCACACTTAGTTCCTTCTGAGTTACAGAACTTTAAATGTACAAGTCTTTGCAAGCCTAGCAGGAAAAGGAAAAGCTAAGGGTGTTTCCTTTAGCTAAGGAGCGGTTTCTGCTGAGGAAGCAGCTGGACTGGGACTAACTAAATATCTGTTTAGACCTTGGGACTGTTTGGGAACAGATTTAAGAGTAAAGATGAAAATGTATGCATACTAATGTATTACATCTCTCTTATTTTATATAGTCGAGTGTAATCTTATTCCTCCTCCACCTCCTCCACCTCTGCCTGGACCATCACCATCAGTCATCCTTAGTGTCGGCTTATCAGGTAATACAAAATTACAAATAATAATAGGAAACAGTACTATCTTGGCTCTGATTTGTTGCGAACAAAAGATTAAAGCGAGTCACAGTGACAAATCACTCTCAGGATCTTGTCATACGTAATTATGTTTGTAAAAATAATGTCTGACAATAATGTTTATTCTTATCTTATAGCCATACGCATCAAGAAACCCATAAAAACCAAATTCCGCCTTCCTGTCTTCAACTGGACTGCACTGAAACCCAACCAGATCAATGGCACCGTCTTCAACGAAATTGATGATGAGCGTGTGCTTGAGGTGATATTGAGTATGACTCAGATTTGCACATTATTTTGAGCGCGCGCTCCATGAAACTCTCCACCCATGCCATGTGTTCTTGATTGGTCATGTAGGAGTTGGATCTGGAGAAGTTTGAGGAGCTGTTCAAGACGAAAGCCCAGGGTCCTGTGGTGAATTTGTCATGCTCAAAGAGCAAGGTTTCCCACAAGGTCGTCAACAAAGTGCAGCTGCTTGATGCCAATCGCTCAAAGAACTTGGCCATCACTCTGCGCAAGGCCAACAAGACCACAGAAGAGATTTGCAAAGCCATTCAAACGTACGCACATATGCAAGTGTCTTAATCTTCTCAAAAATCTCCTCTGAGATTAATATGATGCAATATCCATGTTGCAGGTTTGATCTGAAAGCCCTGCCAGTGGACTTTGTGGAATGCCTGATGCGGTTTCTGCCCACGGAGGCTGAGAGTAAACTACTGCGTCAGTACGAGCGTGAGAGGAGACCTCTGGACCAACTAGCTGAGGAAGACCGTTTCATGCTCCTCTTCAGCAAGATTGAGCGGCTCACTCAGAGAATGAGCATCATCACGTTTGTGGGCAACTTCAATGATAATGTCAACATGCTGACCCCGGTGAGCAACTACGATGGTCAACAAATAGGAAGTTGGGAAATTTTGTGGGGTTTTTAAATAGATTTTTGGTGAAGAATGACCATCCACAGTGATTTGTGAAAATTGTTTGACCAACATCCTTGTTGTTCCTGGAACAACATTCCCATTCACATTTTGGTGTTAAATTGAGGCATAGACTTATCAACCTATCATCTCCCTCCGATTTTAGGGGTTGTTAGGCTTGGGGTTAAGTATAGGGTTAGTTTGTTTGATGGGAATTTTATTCCTGGAACAACAAAGATGTTGATTTCGGAATACGTTCTTGGCAATATCACGGTCATCTTGATCAAATCAAGATTTGACATCTGTTCATTTAAATCCACAGCAACTCAACGCTATCATCGCTGCATCAGCGTCAGTAAAGTCTTCTCCAAAGTTAAAGAAGATCCTTGAAGTAAATGTCTTCTTGTTTTGAATATTATAAGGGTTAAAAATCATCTCAAATTGGTCTTCTGTTATGCTTAACTATCCGTTTTTGTCTCAACAGATCATTCTGGCCCTGGGCAACTACATGAACAGTAGTAAAAGAGGCTCGGTGTATGGTTTCAAATTTCAGAGTCTGGATCTGGTGAGCTCGAGTGTAGAAATGGCTTCAGCGATGTCGTAGTTGAATAACAGTGCTGTTCTCACCCATGCTGATGTTGTTCTCTCTCAGCTGCTAGATACTAAGTCTACTGACCGGAAGATGACACTGCTGCACTACATTGCTCTGGTCGTCAAAGAGAAATATCCTGAACTGGCTACCTTCTACAATGAACTGCACTTTGTGGATAAGGCTGCAGCAGGTCTGTGTCCTTCAGGGTTGGAATTTGAACTGAACATGTCCCACTTACAGAAATTATATTAATTTATTTGGATTTATCTCCATTTGAACTCTAATTGCATTAATTTGAAATCTTCCATTACAGTCTCCCTGGAGAATGTGTTGTTGGATGTTAAGGAGCTGGGTAAGGGTATGGATCTGGTCAGGAGAGAATGCAGTCTGCATGACCACGCTGTACTCAAGGGCTTCCTCCAGACCAGCGATACACACCTGGACAAACTACAAAAAGACGGCAAGACTGCTGAGGTGTCCTTTCTCTCTTTTACAAAACACTTTCTGAATACAAAACCAGATTATCTGAATCTCAAATTAAATCCATTTATAGGAGGCTTTCAACAATGTGGTGCTTTACTTTGGGGAGAGTCCTAAGACCACGCCGCCCTCTGTGTTCTTCCCAGTGTTTGTACGGTTCATCAAAGCATACAAGGTACTGCAATCCATTAAATGATTCACTCAATGGTTCGAGGCACTGCACTAAAGAATCATGAATCTTCATAATATGACAAGGAGAGTACACATTCGTGGCTCTGTATACTCATCAGGAAGAGACTTTCATTTTGTAAGCCTCGGGGGGGGGGGAAAGGGGAACCCGACCTGGTTTTAGGTCATTGAGGACAGGAAGGAGCCATCCATGTGATCTGTTGTCTGGCATGTTTAGCAAACATGATGCGATGAAAGATCTGGCCTGCTAGCCAATTGGTTGTGGGTTCAGACCCTGAATGCACACACAGTTTCTATGTGTGTTTATATCCTTTGGCCATCCTTGTTTTAATGTCTTCCCTGTTGGAATAGCAGACGTTAGCAGAGGATGAATAACAGGAAGGGGCAGCTGGGCTGAGATTTAAGGGCAGCTGCTGTGTTTAGACTGGGCTTTGCCTTCACCGCCTTTAACCCGGACACACACGCATACACACACCTCTTCCTCACATTGTTCTGCTGGTGGATTTATGAGTCTACATGAGGAACCAAAAAAGGTCCAAGATCTCTATGCGTTCGTGTGTGTCCATATTCATATCCCTTCTCAGAGGTTGCTGTGATTGTTTATATGTGAGGTCGTAGCCTGTGTTTTGTGCAGTGTCAGGACCCGGATCACACTCACCTCTCTGACGGAACTGTGTTGTTGTTTTCTGCAGGAGGCTGTGGAGGGAAACGAACAGAGAAAGAAGCAAGAGGAAGCCATGAGAGAAAAACTACTAGCACAGGAGGCCAAACAGCGTGACCCCAAGGTGAAATCTAAGAGCTGAGAATTTGAAAAAAAAACCTCTTTTAAATATCAAACTAGAAGATAGCTTTTCAGAATCAGTGTGTTTTTAAGTCACAAACAGCAATTATACTCATGAAAGCTCTGGTGACATTATGGCAGTGGCGTTCTCTGGTTCTGAACACAAAACGTTTTGTTCAGAATACATGTAATGTACATGCAAACGAATATGTGAATCACATTTAAACATTCAGGGTTATATAAACAGAACTTTCAGAATCTGAAATCAAATTGGATTTAATCCAATGGATGAAATTTAGTGCATGTAAACATAACACTTTTTTCTATAATACCATTCTATTCTAGTAAATTTGCCCTTGTATCCTTTAAATATTTCAAGCACTTCCAGATGATATTAGTGGTATAGATGCATTTTGTTTTTTTCATTGCAGGTCCAGGCTCAAAAGAAGCGACACCAGCAGCAGGAACTGATCGCAGAGCTCCGGCGCAGACAGGCCAAGGACCACCGGCCTGTATATGAGGGCAAAGATGGCACCATTGAAGACATTATCACAGGTGGGCCAGGCAGGACTACAATACCCATCAGCCAGGGGTCCACAATCACTGTGGTGGTCCACAGATCTCCACATCAGCAGTGTACTCTCTGTTATGTTAAACATCGGCCCTTACAGCTCAATCACCACACTTTACAAGTGCATATCAGTTAAAACCAATGGTTCAGATTTTGAATCAACCCTCAGGGATATTCAGAGTTAATTAGATGGCATACTAACTAAATGGTTCTCTTTCTAAAGTATGATTGCAGAAACTGTGCAGGGATCATTTTTTAATAACAAAAGACCATAATCTATCATTCACATAATGCTCTCGATTTAGGGTATTTATATTTATTATAAATTAATAACCACTGAATCTTTTTTATTTTCTTTTTTTTGGCAAACTCTCTCATTCATTTGAGATTTTCAGATTTTGCAATACTGACAAAATTGCTAAAAATGTCTCTTTAAATGTGGTCCAGAGGTTGTGCACATATAGGGAAATTTTCACTTTTTTAACATTTCAGTAAACAGCGTCCCAGCTTATGAAGCCATAGATATTACTGACAGAATGAAGAATAGTTACTTCTCCTCGTCTGTTACCCCAGTCACAAAGTAAACAGGATTTAGTCTCTATTAATGCTTAAGTTTTTACTTGAACATGTTTAACATGTACTTTAATGGTTTATTCTTAAAGTTTACCCATGTATCCTGTGCTCAGGTTAATCATTAATTAATTAACAGAGTAGTTTTTCCTTAAAAAAACGAATTCCTCCATCTGAGATGCACACTACTGTTCAAAAGTTTTTATTGATGTTTTTGAAAGGTCTCATAAAGGTTGCAGTTGTTTTCTTCAAAAATATAGTAAAACAGTAATACTGTGAAATATTATTGCAATTTAAAACTTGTTTTCTGTTTTAATATATTTTTAAATGAAATGTATTCCTGTGATGTAATTTTCAGCAGCCATTACTTCAGTCTATAGTGTCACATGATCCTTCAGAAATCGTTCTAATATACATTCCAATATACATTCTATGTGCTTACATTTTTTGTGAATAGAAAATTTAGAATAGCATTTGTTTAAAATCTACATATTTTGTAAAATTATAAATATTTTTACTCTCACTCTTGATCAATTTGATGCATCCTTCCTAAAAAAAGGGTCCATTACTGTGACCCCTAATATTTGACCAATAGTGTACCTATGTGAAGAAGATTTTATGGCTGTCGCTGTTAAATAGGACTCAAAACATCTTGCACAAAAATGCCAGGAAGTTGCAAGAGTCAAAACAAGTGGTTTCTCTTTTTAGGAACACATGCTCCTTCTTAACCTCAGATATAACGTTCTGTCTCTGACCTCCCTCAGTGCTGAAGAGTGTGCCCTTCACAGCCCGCACGGCCAAACGGGGCTCTCGCTTCTTCTGCGATACCAACCTCTTCGATGAGTCCATCTGCTAGCCCCCCAAACCCCCCCCCCAAAAAAAATGCCCCTAATGCCACAGGTTGTCCCGTTCTCTTACCAGTTGCAAAGTGCATGCATACAACCACTCGCATGACCCATTCTGTCACTTGGTTACCCAGCATCCTTTACTAACCTATGCACAATGGAATAGTGGGAAGCACAAGCTGTGGCTGTTCACAGATCTGAAACAGGGACCGGCCAAATCTTTCTCAAGGGAATTATGACAAATGGACCGAAAAGTATTAAAATATCTGTATATAATATAATATAATCATATTTTTTGTACTGTAAAACTGTTGCTTGCCTGATTTTTTTACATATATGCTTTTATGATTTAATCATATTTTTTATATTGGGTCTTTCTGTTTGTCATATTGTCCAGAGAGATTTGGCCTGTGTAACAGTCCTTATTATGTTTCACTTGGTTTGTCACCTGCTAACTCTCATCTTCTCTCCCATAACTCTTTGTTCTACCTTTCCAGCAGAACAAGGGATTAATCTGAGTAAATTTGAGCACAAAATAATTGGAGGGTAAGAAAGGCATCATGGAGCTTCATGACGCTTTGCTCCTGTCTGCCTTTTTACCGTCAGCTCAATTGCTTTAGCGGTGTGCTATATTTTGCACATTGCTACAATGCTGAAGCTTATGTAGCCAAATGCAGTCTTGTACTGAATATTTTTTGCATCGTTAGATATATATTTTATGAAACTTGTCATTGTGTCAAAAAATATGATAATTAGCTATATGTTTTTTATAGTTTTACCATGGAATGAAAAAGAGTTTTTATTTCACAATTTGGAATTTGTTTCTCACAATTTTGAGAAAAAAAGTTAGAATTGTGAAATATTTTGTTAACATTTTTGAGGAAAAAACAGGCGAATTCTGACTTTTCTTGTAGCAATTCTGAGTTTTTACTTTTACTTTTTTCCCTCAGTTTACATTACATCTCACAATTCATTTTTTTTTTTTACTATATTATATACTATTTATACCTTAAGATATATAATATAAACTACAAATTTTTTATAGTTTTATATAACCTTATAGATATCAAATCTTATTACAAACTAATCATTAGTACAATATCATATTATTTTACTAGTAGAATTTTTGTTAGCTTTTCTTCAGTACCATATATTGGAAAGGACCCAGGAATGAAATCTCTAATTTCTTGTCATCACTGTTGCATGTAAAGCTGTGTTTGTCCGCTGTATCTTTGCACTGTGCTGTTTGTCTGACATGTTTATGTCCTCTACTGTATCGTCACCTGCATGCAACTCTGTGTTCTGTTAAGCAAGATCTACATGTAATGGTTACTGTATATAGTGGTGTAGTGTTTTATTATATATGGTAATGTTATAGCATCTTTTAAGACCTTGCTGAACAATGAATCTATCAGTTCAGATGTATTAGTGTTGAATGGTCTTACTGCAGTGATTGTATTTTGTTTTGTGTCTCTGTTAGTGTTTTACTGTGTGTGCTTTATAAGTGCTGGGCCATGCCTATGTTTATGCTAGAAGCAGTTATTGAGATGTATATGAATTGCATTTTTTTTTTTACTTTAAATGAAAATCCTGTCATTTACTCGTCCTCACTATTTTTTTCTGTTGAACACAAAATGAGATACTCTGTAAAAGAATGTGTAACCAAACAGTTTCTGGTCCCTATTGTCTTCCATAGTATTTTTCCTATACCATGGAAGTCAGTGGCTACCATCAACTGTTTGTTTACCATTATTCCTCAAAATATCTTATTTTGTGTTTAACAGAAAAAAATTAACTCCCAGAGGTTTGGAACGACATGAGGGTGAATAAATTATGATAACATTTTCATTTTGGGTGATATTTCCCTTTAATGTTTTTGTGGAAACAGTGACACATTATTCCTTTTTGGAGCTTGACAGCTGCCACTCAGTTGCTTTCATTCTAAGGACAAGAATAGTGTCAACATTATGCTAAATATCTCCTTTCCCAGATAAAAGCATGAATGACATGAGGCTGGGTAAATGACAGAATTTTCCTTTTTGGGTGATCTGTTCCTTTAAGATCTAGAAAAGTAAGATCTACAGAATTCTGCATTCTGCATCCTTTTCAAAGACAGCACAAATATCAGCAACCAGCTCAAATGCTGAGAATGACCCCTGCTACCCTAAATGTTCCCTGATCTAACTCTAACTCTCTCCCTTCCCCACTCACAGATCTCCGAAGCCAGCCCTTCCTGCGAGCTGACGCGGTGATCCGGAATGGGTGGAAGCGACCCTAAAGACCCCTCACTCACTCACCCACTGCTACTCTCCCCCCGCTTTCTTCTGAAATGGCATTTTCCTGCAATTCACAGTGACTGAGGGAAGTGCAGGACCAAACCAGTGTCTTTGGTTTTAGGGGGGTGGGGAAGTTATTTATTTATGGAAATCCTTTTTGGATTCTGCACTGGAGGCTCTTTCAATAAAGCCATAAAAGCACAGACATTAAGGGCGGCCTCATGAACGCTCGCGTACGCAAATCCTGAGGAGCGTCTGTAACGGCTTGCGTTGGCACAGGAAAAATGCTTGTTGTGGTTGACACAGACAGCGGTAACACTAGCCTGCTGACCCTGAAGAGCCTTCCAATGGGATCTCACGCCCATTAACGTGTATTTCCTTTTATTGTGCAATGTAAGCATGACTTTCTGTCTTGAGGTCACTGACTTTCAGGCCAGAGCCCGTTTGTACAGTTCTTTTATTAACTATGAACTCAAAAGATTTAGAATCCTAACTACATGGAGTGGATTAGTCTGTCTCCAGTATTTTAACCCTATGGTTACAAAGAAGTGCCTTTCTGCTGAGTCAGTATTATTTCTTATAGCCAATATTAATGTATCTAAGTTTATACTTGTGTTAATCATTATGTTGTAAGTAACATTTCAGATGCTTAATGTAAATATTATGCAGTTATCCAGTTGCAGCTTTAACAAAAGAGCCTGAAGTGCTCTATTTGACTGACCATGTGCCTTGTAGGCCTATTGATGGTGCAGCCTTCACCCAGCTTTTTAAATGTTTAATGCGCATGTACCAGAACAAAGTGTACATAACGTTATGCCATGCCTTTAAACGTACTCTTCCTCAGAGAATAACGTTCGGATCCGTTCTTTACCACACAGAATTCTTATGTATATAAATGCATTTTTTTATCCAATGGGAATCACAATGGGAATCACTCCAGGATTGTAAAGATGATATACTAACAGAATCTTTTAGGTGTGCAGTTTGTACCGTTCACTCTAAACCAGTTGCCCGAGTTAGTAAAATGAAGGACATTCGTCATGGTTTGTATTAATTCACTCGGTTTAAACCAACAATAACGTTTTATAAGATTAATTTTATTATCTGATATGTCTCTAATAGAATAATTATTTTCTTTGCACTATCATTGAATAAGAACCGATTATTCAACTAGTAACTCGATATGAAATTGTATGAGCTTTATTTTGGCAATAACTTGCGCGAGGCAGCGCTTTACTGTTAATTGCTTTGTTCGGGATGCGCTGCCGGTTATATTCACAATTCAAGTGCTTACTGCTTTTATCAAATTTAGATATTAGGGACAGAAATTATTATTATTACATTAAGAAAAATACATTAAGTGGCGTCTTTCCGTTAGAAGAGATAAGATAGCCCCGACAAAGACTGCAGTGTGACAGGAGGCAAACGTCGGCGTTGCAGCGATCTCAACAGGTGTTAAGGCGCTTTCACACACGGTACGCGGCAGTCGCGAGGGTCTAGTTCATTCTCAATGGGAGACATGCGGTTTCGCTGACGGCGCGGATGCGGAGCGCAAGCGGTGCTTGTGCACCCAAAATCCTGCCGCTTTCCAGGCTTCCGCGCCGTGTAAACATAAAACCATGTCTGCATTTGTGATTGGAGAAAATGACAAAAAACTAGCACTTCTCTACACTGCTCAAAACTCGCGTTTGAATAGTCAGTGGCATGGGCGTCGCTAGGCCATTTTTACGGGGGCTATAGCTATATGCATAGGCCTACTTGAGATAAGGAATACTACAAATGCAAACAATCAAATTTTGTGTTTGTAGCCTACAGTGTGTGTGAGATCATGAAGACTTGAATTTGGCTTATTCAGTACTCAAATGTTATACATATCCATGCAATACAGTGGAATACTGCAATAAGTTTAGTAGGCTATACGACTATTAATCAAACATTTTTTTTTTAGGCTGAGCCCCCCCCCCTAAAATGAAAATCCTAGAATCGCCCCTGGTCAGTGGCAAAGCCTTTAAATATGAAAACGTACTTACAGGCTGCGAATCAGCATTATTTGTCAGAACACAGGCATTGTAGGCTACTCTCCCAGGAATATTTGATTTGAACTGTTCTGGAACTGTGTTGTAAATACAACTTAACCTTTGCTCACACATGACTCGGATCTGTTTTTGTCATGACAGTGTGAACAGCACAAACCGCATGGAATCTGATCTTTTCAATTCCAATTTGTGCCACTTCCATATGTGGTACTAAATCCGATAGATGTCAGATGTTTTGCAATGCGACCGCAGTGTGAACAGTCATGTCGCAAAGCCTTTAAATATGAAAACGTACTTACAGGCTGCAAATCAGCATTATTTGTCAGAACACAGGCATTGTAGGCTACTCTCCCAGGAATATTTGATTTGAACTGTTCTGGAACTGTGTTGTAAATACAACTTAACCTTTGCTCACACATGACTCGGATCTGTTTTTGTCATGACAGTGTGAACAGCACAAACCGCATGGAATCTGATCTTTTCAATTCCAATTTGTGCCACTTCCATATGTGGTACTAAATCCGATAGATGTCAGATGTTTTGCAATGCGACCGCAGTGTGAACAGTCATGTCGGATTTCATGCGACTTCAATCGTCAATCTAGATCGACATTCCTCATAATTCCACACTTGACGGGAGACACAAAAGATTTTTTTTACATGCCCAAAGTTATCAAGACAGTTGCGAAAGGTAATCAGTGGAAGCGTAATGTGTCAGAACTCATAAGAATTACAGTGACAACTCTATATACAAACAAAACATGAGGGCTCGTATCATAAAAGCTTCAAAACTGCTGTCTTTTGTCACATCCTTGTCTTTATTTTTCATATTGCCTGCACATAATTTCGCCGGATTCAGCAGCAGATCACACTATAAATAAACGCATAATCGCTTACTTTATGTCCTCTGCGTTTACTTCCGTATGACCGCGCGCTGCGCAAGTGTTGCCAAATCCTGTTTGTAGGCTATCATTCTTTTGCGCATGCGGATCAGTTCAGATCCATGATCTGTTCACACTGTAAAACTGGTATTGGCCACATTTAAAACAACAATGTGAACAGCTACACACTAAAAAAATCGGAATTGAGCTCACAGTGTGAACGTAGCCGACGTCAAGGCCCTGTTTACACTGTCAGTTAAATGTGACCCAATTCCGATTTTTTTGCTCATGTGACACAGATCGGATCTGTTCTATGACAGTGTAAACAGGAATAAAACGCATGCATTCGGATATTTCGAGATCGGTTTCAGGCCTCATTCATATGGAAATAAATCGGATATAAATCAGATATGTGTCATGTAAACAGGCAGATCGGCTTTTCTGAGGCGTTGCGTTCTGTTCGTCATTAAAACTGCAACAATTTGGTACTTCTCCGCGGTTTAATGACGTCATATGCAGTGTTGGGCAGTAACTAGTTACTAGTAATTTAGTTACTGTAATAATATTACTTTTTGCAGTAACTAGTAGTATAAGATTTCAGTAATACTATTACAGTTACCATCCATAAAACAGCTTAGTTACTTAATTACTTTTGATGCCTCAACCCCGCTGCTTTAAAATCCAACAATCAAATAATTCCTAGATTTATTTTCATAACTTTCACGACTCACATGCATGTGATGTCCCCATTGCAGCAGGCAAGCTTGGAATATGGAAAAGCTTACATTCAGCAGATAGAAATATTGCATTATATTGATTTTTTCAGGAAAAAAGATGACCTGAACACTGTTGTGTAAATTGTGGCTTTACTTTACTCTGGCATTACATCCCACCCACATCCCTCTGATCAGCATGTGGTACATCACATTACTATAATCACAAATCTGTTTGGAAAAAAAAAAGTTTCTTACAAACTTATGTGATTTGATAAAATACATAATGAAATATAATCGTAAGGGAGAAATTACAATTAGCTTCAAGCTACACATGACAATTAATGAGATTAAAACAACACTTCTACTTGAATGTCACTATCAATCACTATTGAGTGTTTGTAATAACTTCTGACTGCGATCCAATGTGGATTTTGGTCAAATGATGAGGCAGAAATAGGCTATGTTTTTAGTAAGAATTTTATGTGGAAGATAGTTACAACTTCTGTGAGGCGTGAAGAAAAAGTAATGTAAGTGTAACTAATTACTGTTGCCAGAAAGTAATAAGTAAAGTAACAATATTACTTTTGAAAGGAGTAACTAGTAATGAGTAATATATTCTTTGAGTAACTAGCCCAACACTGTTCTGTGACCCGTGCTGGCAAAATGAGTGTAAATTAGCACGGGCTATTTTGAGTTACAGGCAACAACAAAAAAACAACAACAAAAAAAACACCTGAAATAATGCTCCAAGTAGTAATTAAACATCTAAAATGATCTTTATTTGTACATTTTCTGAGAGGATGACCTTTTCTCCGCTCGCTTCTCGCGCGAAGTGCTTGCACATAACGGCGCGCGATCCCATACAGATTTACAGTATTTCAGTATTCACGAAAACATATTCTGTTCTGTCTTAAGTGAACGCTTGGGGAACTGGTGGGGGAAAACATCTGATGTGTACCATTATTAGATCCGTGCATTACAGTATAGGACGTCTGTATAATTAATGTTAATCTAACAAGAAAAGAAAAGAGGGAATCACTCGCTGCAATTCATTGAACTGCTTTTGTAGTTTTAATAATCAATTTATTTGTAATGAACACACTTAAGTTATTTCTACATTTGATTATTTGTTTTTCGTACATGAATGCTTAGTTTAGATATAAAATTATAAAGGTAATGCATATTTGTTTCTTTCTAGGCTATTTGTTCTACTGTTTTTTTTTGCATCTGTTCTGATTTATAATAGCAAAGATAAAATAAAAAATAGCTGTATTGATTATTAATATAGTAAAAGCCAGGTGCAGTAGGAGATCTTAGAAAATGCTAACTTTAGCCTGATAGCACTGAAAGCAAAAGTCCCACCCTCCCTGCAATCGCCGTCCAAAGCCACGCCCCCTGAACGCATTTACGCTCACAGACCAGAATACCAGAGACAACATTACTACAATAGGCTACATCAGAGGTTCCCAATTCCAGCCCATGTTCTGAAGTGAAGTAAACTTCAACGGATTTCCCCTGCTCAGGGAGTAGGGAGCAATGAACACTGTGTAGGGATCATATCAATCAGAAGTGGGAACACAGTTCATGCACATAGCTCACTTCTAACAAGCTGGCGTGAGGACTGGATTAACCCTGGGCTACATCATGTCATTCACGGGTAAGAAAACTTTAAATAGGACCCCTTTTACTACAATACCAGGAAGGAAGATCAGGTTGTTGATGTTTGTCTGCCATTCTCGCTCTGTCTGCACAGCGTGCGTGAATGCGCTGATGACGTTTCCTGTCTGCGCGAACAGGGTGCGCAGAGGTATGCTAATACATACGTTGACAGGCAGGTAGGCAGGTAGGAAAAAACGTTCGGACCGAGCGTTTTGATTGGACGAACATTTCTTGATCCTACGCCTTCCACAGAATATATAAATATATAAAGACCACTTAACTTAATGATTGCTATCAGGATGTGAAGAGACTTTCAACCAGCATAACAAAAAATGTTTCTGAAGACAATCACCTATTGCACCTTTAATAATAAGAAAAGACGGAAGACTTCACTCTATCAACTTCAAACGGCTGTAGCTCAGTAATTTTTTGTCCGATTCCAACAAATCATAAATCATTTTGAAGGTCTTTTAATGGAGAATGTCATGTTTTTTTTTTTTAAATTGGCTAATTGTGAGGTCATTTTCTATGAGAAACCATTTAATGTGAAACTTTGCATATTGTGTTTATATTCTGGGTTCATCTGCTTGCCTGTACAACATATACATAATCAGTAAGGTGTTTACTGAATTTCGCGTTTTAATATAATCATTTTGACAGCCCTATTAAAAAGCCTTAATTTTTTCTTTTTAAACAATTATGTTTATCCAACAAGATCCAACCAAAGAGCATCTTGTGTGATTATCTCACAAGGTCCTTTCAACCATTCCAAGATGTTACCTTCTAACCTTTTTTTTTTTTTTTCTAAAACCAACAAACAAACAATCAAATAAATCTACTTTGCATTACGGTATGTTGCTCAGTGACTTTACCCAGGCCACATGAACACTTTGATAAGAATTACCAGCACAGTATCAAGTAGTAGAAGGTCAGGGCCTTCTTAAAGATGACAGGATGATCCCTCAGTATGACACAAAGCTCAGGTGGTCTGTGTGCAGCTGAGCAAGATGATCTGAAGGCACAGCTGATCAAAGCTCAAAGCCTAATCTCAAGAGGCCAAAGTGTCTTTACGAGACTCCTCAGCAACACCTCACTACCGGCTGGGTCACTCAACGAAATGAACTCCAGGACAGACAAATCCTATTTTTTAAGGTAAGCCGAGCACCTTTGATGAAGATCAGCCCAATGGATCCCGGTCTAAGATGGCTACGAGATCATCTGCCTTGTTTAAATCTGCAAGTTAAGTCCAACCAGATGCCGTCCACAAGCCTCTTACACACCTGTGCACCAATCCACAAACCATTTAAACCATTCCGCTGTTGAAATCTCAATCTAGCCTGAAGGTTATTGGCTTTGATAAGAGGGAACAGGGAATCTCCAAACATCAGTTCCTACAATTCAACAGTATACTACACAGGACCCCTGCTGAAGAAAGCGTCCACTTCATGGCCAAACAAACATATCGCTTCTCTCGCACCCTGAGAGCAATGTTTTTCCCACTCAACCTCTTTTTCTCCGAGACGGTTTCTCCGCTCTCTCTCTATTTCTATCTGACTCCCAGATGACAGCAGTCTGATCATTCACCCTCTTGTTGAACTGCTCTTGGGTGCTAGGCTGGCTTTATAGCAGTCATGGTTGAAAGGCTTTTATACACCGAGTGAGATAGCACTAAGGTGCAGTCATCAGGGGCTTAGGGGAGCGAGTGAGATGTGTCCATCAACAAGAACCGAATCAAATCCACACACACATACGCATTTGGGTGTTTGTTTGGTCCCCTTCTATACAAACTACGAGAGTATCCAAAAATATGCTTGCAAAAACCTTTCGAAGGATTTCTGTAAACAAAGCAGAGCCACAGAGAGCTCTCAGCATCGTGAGGATATAAAAACAAATAAAGCATCTCAGTTCAAACACTCCAGTGACTGTGTGTGTGTGTGTGTGTGTGTGCTTGAAAAAGAGTCCATTTGCTTACGTCACATTGCCCTCTGAGTTATTCTGAGATGACATACTCACTGACTGTGAATAGACTGATAGAAGGACATGATCAATGACATCTTTTAAAGTCTATGTGAATTGCCATTTACAAACAGGATATTGAAACAGGAGATTCAGCAAGAAAAAAATGTAGGTTTTTTCCCCTTGAGATCTGACTGGATCATGAAAAGTGGACATTACATGCAAGAATAGATATGGCCAAAGAAAGAGTTTGCTAAAACATTGCCTATGATAGCTATCTGGCCATTGATTAACGTTATGCAGTTAACTATTATTGCCAAAAAAAAACATTTTCATTATTTTGAAATACTGTAAAGCTGAGATAAAATAACATAAATATTGGGCCCTGTTTACACTGTCAGTTAAATGTGACCCAATTCCGATTTTTTTGCTCATGTGACACAGATCGGATCTGTTCTATGACAGTGTAAACAGGAATAAAACGCATGCATTCGGATATTTCGAGATCGGTTTCAGGCCTCATTCATATGGAAATAAATCGGATATAAATCAGATATGTGTCATGTAAACAGGCAGATCGGCTTTTCTGAGGCGTTGCGTTCTGTTCGTCATTAAAACTGCAACAATTTGGTACTTCTCCGCGGTTTAATGACGTCATATGCAGTGTTGGGCAGTAACTAGTTACTAGTAATTTAGTTACTGTAATAATATTACTTTTTGCAGTAACTAGTAGTATAAGATTTCAGTAATACTATTACAGTTACCATCCATAAAACAGCTTAGTTACTTAATTACTTTTGATGCCTCAACCCCGCTGCTTTAAAATCCAACAATCAAATAATTCCTAGATTTATTTTCATAACTTTCACGACTCACATGCATGTGATGTCCCCATTGCAGCAGGCAAGCTTGGAATATGGAAAAGCTTACATTCAGCAGATAGAAATATTGCATTATATTGATTTTTTCAGGAAAAAAGATGACCTGAACACTGTTGTGTAAATTGTGGCTTTACTTTACTCTGGCATTACATCCCACCCACATCCCTCTGATCAGCATGTGGTACATCACATTACTATAATCACAAATCTGTTTGGAAAAAAAAAAGTTTCTTACAAACTTATGTGATTTGATAAAATACATAATGAAATATAATCGTAAGGGAGAAATTACAATTAGCTTCAAGCTACACATGACAATTAATGAGATTAAAACAACACTTCTACTTGAATGTCACTATCAATCACTATTGAGTGTTTGTAATAACTTCTGACTGCGATCCAATGTGGATTTTGGTCAAATGATGAGGCAGAAATAGGCTATGTTTTTAGTAAGAATTTTATGTGGAAGATAGTTACAACTTCTGTGAGGCGTGAAGAAAAAGTAATGTAAGTGTAACTAATTACTGTTGCCAGAAAGTAATAAGTAAAGTAACAATATTACTTTTGAAAGGAGTAACTAGTAATGAGTAATATATTCTTTGAGTAACTAGCCCAACACTGTTCTGTGACCCGTGCTGGCAAAATGAGTGTAAATTAGCACGGGCTATTTTGAGTTACAGGCAACAACAAAAAAACAACAACAAAAAAAACACCTGCAATAATGCTCCAAGTAGTAATTAAACATCTAAAATGATCTTTATTTGTACATTTTCTGAGAGGATGACCTTTTCTCCGCTCGCTTCTCGCGCGAAGTGCTTGCACATAACGGCGCGCGATCCCATACAGATTTACAGTATTTCAGTATTCACGAAAACATATTCTGTTCTGTCTTAAGTGAACGCTTGGGGAACTGGTGGGGGAAAACATCTGATGTGTACCATTATTAGATCCGTGCATTACAGTATAGGACGTCTGTATAATTAATGTTAATCTAACAAGAAAAGAAAAGAGGGAATCACTCGCTGCAATTCATTGAACTGCTTTTGTAGTTTTAATAATCAATTTATTTGTAATGAACACACTTAAGTTATTTCTACATTTGATTATTTGTTTTTCGTACATGAATGCTTAGTTTAGATATAAAATTATAAAGGTAATGCATATTTGTTTCTTTCTAGGCTATTTGTTCTACTGTTTTTTTTTGCATCTGTTCTGATTTATAATAGCAAAGATAAAATAAAAAATAGCTGTATTGATTATTAATATAGTAAAAGCCAGGTGCAGTAGGAGATCTTAGAAAATGCTAACTTTAGCCTGATAGCACTGAAAGCAAAAGTCCCACCCTCCCTGCAATCGCCGTACAAAGCCACGCCCCCTGAACGCATTTACGCTCACAGACCAGAATACCAGAGACAACATTACTACAATAGGCTACATCAGAGGTTCCCAATTCCAGCCCATGTTCTGAAGTGAAGTAAACTTCAACGGATTTCCCCTGCTCAGGGAGTAGGGAGCAATGAACACTGTGTAGGGATCATATCAATCAGAAGTGGGAACACAGTTCATGCACATAGCTCACTTCTAACAAGCTGGCGTGAGGACTGGATTAACCCTGGGCTACATCATGTCATTCACGGGTAAGAAAACTTTAAATAGGACCCCTTTTACTACAATACCAGGAAGGAAGATCAGGTTGTTGATGTTTGTCTGCCATTCTCGCTCTGTCTGCACAGCGTGCGTGAATGCGCTGATGACGTTTCCTGTCTGCGCGAACAGGGTGCGCAGAGGTATGCTAATACATACGTTGACAGGCAGGTAGGAAAGCATATTAAAACGTTCGGACCGAGCGTTTTGATTGGACGAACATTTCTTGATCCTACGCCTTCCACAGAATATATAAATTCATTTAGACCACTTAACTTAATGATTGCTATCAGGATGTGAAGAGACTTTCAACCAGCATAACAAAAAATGTTTCTGAAGACAATCACCTATTGCACCTTTAATAATAAGAAAAGACGGAAGACTTCACTCTATCAACTTCAAACGGCTGTAGCTCAGTAATTTTTTGTCCGATTCCAACAAATCATAAATCATTTTGAAGGTCTTTTAATGGAGAATGTCATGTTTTTTTTTTTTAAATTGGCTAATTGTGAGGTCATTTTCTATGAGAAACCATTTAATGTGAAACTTTGCATATTGTGTTTATATTCTGGGTTCATCTGCTTGCCTGTACAACATATACATAATCAGTAAGGTGTTTACTGAATTTCGCGTTTTAATATATTACTAAATGCAATCTGCATAAAAATAACTGTCGGTCAGTGGGGCAAAGCTTCGTTTTGCTCTCCAGGTGGGCATTCCTATAAGGGTGTGACGTCACGTGAAAACTATCAATTAAACACTAACAAAATTTATATCTTCTTGGAGTTATTTCCAAGACTGAACTTTTTTATATTGTTGGATGTAAATCAAGCCATTTGGGAGGAAATGCAAAGCACAAGATGAATGTACCAAATTTTTAATGTTATTTGGTTGAAATAGACCAATGCAAGCAGCAGTTAACTGGATATTCTGTTGAAGTGGCAAATAAAAATATTTGAGACTCGACTTTGCCTTTATATGAATTTGATTAATACATTTTCCCCAGTGTACTGCAGTGAATACAGGTGAAATGGGGCAACTTTTGAATTTATTTCTTACTTTTTACACTGTATATTGTAGATTATTGTTATGGTAATTTAGTTCCCAGAGTTAAATCATCTGGGAATCATATTTTAGGGAATCTGTATTCACCCTGATCATATCTAGTACTAGGACAATAATTGTTTTAGATTCAGCATTTAAATGATGCATTTAGATTTAGCAGTATTTAAATAATGCATTCTGTATTTGCAGCTAATATTATTACATCTGAGACATAAACCTTACAAAATCTAACAAATTAACATTTCTTGTCCATCATTCCTGGAGACTCTGACCTTTGACTTATGGACTCCGTTGGGAAAACTGCTTCTAAACTGACCACTTATACCCATTACCAAGCTAGAGCAGAGCACCAATCCAGAATCCACTTCTATTTTTATGAACACATTTTTTATTTTTAATATGTGTTATTGTCTGTGATTCATGAAGATCTCCAGCTGGAAACAAAAGAAACGAACATCACACCATCTCTCCAAAAGAAGGGCTGAGCCACCATGCATTTCTACTATAAAAAGCAGTTTAATTATTTTGTATATATATATAAAAAAAAAAAAAATTAACCAACAAAACTACAGAAACTGTTGCAGGGTTGTGACACTAGTCATCTGTGACAGTAAAAGGCCACCGAGGGCCGTACTAAATTACATTTGATCGTAAACAGAGCAGACACTTTACGTTAAGTCCAGATGCTCGGATGAATACTGTTGACATGTATCTGTTGAGCCGACGCTAGTCTTTATGAGCTGTTGGATCCATGCATTAGCCTACGGGTTACCTCCATTAGAAGCAGTGGACGTTCGGCCGCAAGCAGGGTTGGCCGAGTCTCTCTACTGGTCAGGCAGATGAGAATGATGGGAAGAGTAGCAGCAAGGCAGTGAGTTATTACTGGATCCACACGAACCTCACAGGAATGCACTTACACTGAGCATAAAGTCCATAAGACAAACTAGTGAACTAAAAGTGACATACAGCTTCCACTGAAGTGGTATGGAGCGGTTCTGTCGAATCCACACCGACCGAGAGCAGACGACAATCATCTGCGTGTTTCTCCTGGCTGTTTCCGGCGTACTGGAAGACATGGCGTCAGATGAGGCCCACATCCTTTGGACGTACCGCTTGCGTACATACCAAGGCCACTGATACCCTGGAAACAGTTCTGGAATGACCTTACATTTACCATCCGTTTGGATTCACTCAATCGTTCATTCAATCCACATCTTTTCATCCGTTAAAAAAACAAAGCTAAAACAAAGACAGTTATTATACTGCTATTCGTACGGGTGTCTGCTTGTATTCCTGGGTATATTTGTCAAGACACTTTGTTAATTGTTTATGTAAATATATATAAAATCAATCTGTGCAAGGAGTATGACAATCATCGTAAGCGTTGTTCTCTGAGATAACAGTATAGAAATAAAAGCGATGCTGACTCGTCCACGTCTCGCAACACTCACGCACGCATATTCGTTCTCAGCCATCTGAAATCACACACGGGCCGAGTCAGCATCAGTATCATTCAGTCGGCCGTGCCCCCCTCCCTTACATTTCATTAGCAACACTTGGCAATTTTGCTTTTCCTAAAAGAAACATTGATCTCTATACAATTCATACAAAAATAAACTTAAAACCAAAAAAAAAAAAAAAAACTGATTTCCCATATTGTTGTTGGCATCTTGTTGAGCACAGAGGTAGTGGCTAAATGGAGGGGAAGGGTGAGAAATTAGGTATGCAAACGTCTAAAAAAGAAAAAAAAAAACTGGAAAAGGAAAGAAAAAATATATGTATAGAAAATGCTTTCTTTTGTTGACCAGAAGGATTTCTCGAAGAATAAAATATAATACTGCGATCACATACAAAAGTGTCCTTAATTTTTGTCTTTTTTTTTTTTTTTTTTTTACATTTTGTACAGTGTTCCTGCTCTTGTTGCTTTTCCTTTGACATGTAAAGGCATAACGGTCTGCGTGAGGGCAGGCATCCGGCCGTGACTCTACGCCAGCGGGTCTCCCATGTCGTCGTCTCCTGCAGACAGCAGCTCTTTCTTCTCGTCTGTGCTGGCCAGAGAGTTACGGCTGTTATGGGCGCCCAAGTAGAGTGTGGCGTAGACGGGGTTGGTGAAGTTTGTGGGCTGCAAGAGAGACACAGATGCAGATAAGCTGATGATTACTTTTATAGCCCATAGAAGATTAATGGCCTATATTACATTTTCAAACTATTTTAATGACATATATTAAAAATAATAAACTAAAAACTAAGTGAATTTATGCAATACCAACATTATACAGTAGGGATGCACAATATTATTGGACCAACATCGGAATCTGCCGATAATGGCTTTAAATGTAAATATCGGCATCAGCCCGATATGAAAAATTATGCCTATATGTCTTGCCGATAAGAGGAATACATTAACTCGCATGTGCTCAGGGTGTGCTAGCGATTAGATCACGTCAGCATTGTGGCTCATTCTTGAAGCAAAGTTTCGCCTGAATGGTGATTAGATTAACTACTTTGGATCACTGCATTTAATCTGTGAAAGCACGTACAGAATGAGGCCTTCGGTGTATGATAGAGTAAACAGTAATAGCATGTGCAGTGGCAGTAGCGGCAGCCTCCCTAAGTCCTAATGCCCGCTCGTTAAGGAGTTTTAATTCCGTAGGGGGTGCTGTTGGCCTACTTCTAATAAAATGAAAGCAAAATACACAAATAATATTTAGACTTCTGATTAAATAAAGCGGTAATTGATGCCATAAAATCATGAGTATGTTTTGATTTAAAAGTCAGAAACTTACATGGGGGAAAAAAAAAAATTTCACAAACATGACACTTAAATTAAATAATTTTATATATACGTTCATTAATGTGTAATATGTTATATTTTTAAAACAAATTATGAGCTTTTTGAAAGATTTTCAGAATTTGTACAACTCTTTTGCTTTAGATTATTTACAAATGTTAAATCATAAAATAAAATGCAGTTATTAATATATAGTTTATTTATAGCTATTTTCAAATCTTCAATGTACTGTCATTATAAAATAACTTTATTATTGTTTATTTAATTCTAACAAATAAGTTCTTGTTAAAAACTAACCAAAATTAAAAATAATTATATATCGGTATCGGCATCGGCTATCAGCCAAAATGAGTTGAAAATTATCAGCATATCGGCAAAAATCCAACACCGTGCATCCCTAATATACAGTATGAAAAATGGATATTCAAGACAAACGTTTAGACTGAAAAAGTGAAATAAAAGTTAAATAATGTCTCCAACCAAACTAATATTTAAATAAAATATATATAATTATTTATTAGGCCCTATTTAAAATTGTTAAATATTTTCTTTTACCAAACTAATAATTAAAAAGTTTAATATATGATCATATATTTATTTTATAAAATAGAAAAATATTTTAAAAACTATTTAAATTATTATTTTAATTTCAATAGATTATGATTGTATTTAAATATTGTATTTAAAGTTTTGGTTGAAATATATACATTTTTTCACACACCCACACTGATATATATAAATCAATCACGAATAATAACTAAATACAATAATAACAATAAAAAATTATATATAATTGAATCTAAAATAACATTAACAAAATATATATGATATAAAATATAATTGTGTAATATTGTCATTTTGATTTTAATGATATTAGACAATAATTATAAACTATAAATATATAAAACTATTTTATGCATTTCATATATTATATACATTTATTTATGTTTTAACACCACATCAGCAACAATGTCTATATTCATGGCAACATTAACAGTCTTATTTCAATATATAATTTACAGTAATATAACATTTTCTTAAGACACACTCACTATACAAAAACATACAAATAACAAAAATAGTGCTGATAAAAAAAAATCACATAGAATCTTTCAATTTAATAAATAATAAAATGCTTTTTCCCCCCCCAGGAGAGACCTTTTTAAAAATGTCTTTTAATTTATTTTCTGAATAAAAACATTGTCTAATTTCATTTAAAATTGGACATTCTATTAAAATAAGTTTTACACTCAAAAGATTCTTACATAAGTCACAAACTGGTTTCTCCAGTCTTGTATATGCGTCTTGTATATACAACCTGGTCATATCTATTTTCAAAACAGTTAATTTACTACTGGATTCACCTCATATAGTTTGTTGTACATGCATTCATTCCATTCACCATTCATATATTATACAAAACATAAAATTATTTTATACTTTAATATTAAACATTTTAGCACAAAGAACATTTCAGCTGAAACTAATGATTAAAAAATATACACTTTAAAATATACAATTATAATAAATAATATTCAAAAAATCTAAATGACAAAAATATAGTACGCAAGACCCCTAACCAGGGGGTTGGAGAATAACAAAGGTGCCAACCTTATCTGGATCCAGAGCGAACTCAGAGTCCAGCAGCTCCCCTGCGTCATCGTCAGGCTCTCCTTCGTAAATCTTGTACGCCGGGTTCCCGATCTCAACGTTCATGGCTCCGTTGGTCATCCTCTGGTGCTGGAATCCTTTAGCGCTGCGGACACAAACACCAGTAAGCAGTTACATCTTTGTCCAAGCTTCTACGCAACACACCTCTGCAGGCCGAGCCAAGGCACAGGAATTTACACTCACACACACAAAGTAGCCTATATCCAAGCAACTCACAAACACAGACACACAGCTACATCCACCAGGGTCTCTCCTGTCGTATAAACACAAGTGCAAGGAGCCATGATACTTTGAGGAACCATCCATGTGCTTTCAGGTGGAGACTGCCAGCCAGAGTGAGCAACTCTGCAGGGTCTTAGAGAAAGCTGGATATCCACAAGACATGGTCCACTACGGTCAATGAGGTGCCAAACACTTAAAGCACAGCGACACTGCTCTCACGGACATATAAAACGGACACACGTCTACAGGATGGTGCGAGGAGGAGGGAGAGGGACAGGACGCAGCCCAGCGCTACGTCTTGCACCAACCAGTTGATCTATTTTAGCTGTCGTCAATAGATCCCTGTGTTGAAACTGGTAAAAACCACAGGAATACCACAGTAACAGCACAGGATCAGGCAGGAGAAGCAGGGAGAAAGAGAGGTAGAGTATGATGATGGGGAGGAAGAGAGGAGAGGATGGACTAGAATGGGACCCTGCTGTTATAGAGTCAGAGTTACCGCGAACATCTGGAGCTGGGCTTGCCCCGCCTCACAGACCTGAGAGACAGAAAGATGCAGTTTAACCACAGAGACAGAAAGTGAGAGAGCTGGAAATTGAGTTTAGTGTTAAATTAAAGAGGAATGTGCAGGAATTAATGCTCTAAAGCAGGGGTCTTCAACAGGGTACTGAAGTGGGTCTGCTAATTATTGTATGAGCTTAAGGCCGGGACATTCCAAGCCGACTTCAACGAACTAGCAGCGACGAAAGCCGATGGTGTTGTCACCTTGTGTCGGCAGCGTCTGGACCACAAAGCTGCGCTTGAACACACTGCACAGACTACAGCCGATTGCAAACTAACACATGCGTTCTCTGCGCCTGCGTCAGAGGAACTGACTGTCTATATCAGCAGCTATCAATTGTATATATTCCTCATTCAAAAGGAAAAACCGAAACAAGTATATACGAGATATACGTCGATATACTAAACGTAAACAAAAAAGCTCTTTCTTGATAAACTATCTTCATTTTAAGCGGCTCATGTTTTTGTGAAAATATTTGCACATTGGAATGCTTTGGTAAGATCACGTAATATTAGAACAGCCTTCTGTCTGTGCTGCCTTTATTTATTTGCTCATTTTCATCACTTTCGCTTTAATTTGCGGGCACGGACTCGTTCGCTAAACTGAACATCCAATCAGAGTTCTCACTCTCGCTGACGGCCCCGACGTTGATTCAACATGTTGAATCGGGCTCACCAACTTTAGACTAAATTTAGACTAAATCCCGGCCTTAATATGTATTCAACAAAAATCTGTTTTATAACATGATAATTAAAATCAATGTAGAATTACAATTATAAAATAATAAAAAACAATTATATAATTACATGTAAAATATTTCCTTTAACCAAACAAATATTTAAAAATGTATAATATAATCATACCCTTATCATACAAAATAATTATGTACAATTATACAAAATAATTATGTACAATTATTTCCTTCAGCCAAACAAATATAGTATAATATATAATCATGTAATTATTATATAAGGTCTATCACCAAAACTAAGGCCCTCGAACTGAAAAAGTCAAAGATCCCTGCTCTACAGCAAAATGAAGACGACGACAGGAAAAAAGTCTGATCATTACACAAAATAATTTTGGCTAAAACTATAGCCTCTGAGTTCCTTTGTGCACACTGAAATTGTTATATGTACTTACCCACGCATTCTCTTCTTGTACCACAAGATGGCACCAACCACTAACAGTGCAAGTAAGAGCAGTAACACCACTGGGATGACGACTGATGGAGTACCTACACAAAGAAGAAACATGCATCATTATTATACTATTGCACAGATTTCTTCATAGCAACAGGCATACAAAAAAAACTTTTCCAATGCAAAGCTTCTTTTTGTTTACCTTGCCAAACTAAATGAGATGTAAAGAAATGCTGGCACTTACTTCCAGAGTCTGAGTTTTGAACAGGGGCGACATTGAGCTCACAGCGGAAACCTGACCAGCCTGTGTGACACCTACATAACACACACACACACACACACACACACACACACTTTACATTACTGGCAATCCTTATACAGAATCATGTTATTATAGGTTTTTAAGATCATGCTATAGACAAGTTTGTCAGCTATCTCAAGTACAGAATTCAGAATTCAATTTATTTACAGATTATCTTTTATCTGGGGTACCACAAGGTTCAGTATTAGGCCTATTTTTGTTTTCTATTTTCTATATTCTATTTGCAGTTTAATTGTGCATTTTATGTGGATTTTATATGTTGGTGTTTTTTCTTTTTACCAACAAAACATTTGCAAGAACATAAAAGCAATTTCTTTTATACAGCTCTGTCCACTTTACCTGCACTGTGGCAGCATAGTATGAGGGTCTACAGAACACTGGCCCTCAATGCAGAAGTCATCACAGGTGTAGCACGTAGGCCCCTGGATGTCATTAGCGCATCTACACAGAAGAACATAAATTATCATAGCACCCACATAAATAGCACACAACTGATCCATATTTATACGACTCCTTATTTCAAACAAGCTAAGGCTTAATGTTGGAAGACTATGAAAGCCCAGTGAGTTGAATATGCTGGTACATACTTGCATGTTATCCCACTGCCTAGCACTTCACACTTGCCCGTGCCACAGTATTCACACTTGTTCAGCTCACATTGCGGACCAAAGTACGACTCAGAACACTGGCAATGTTTAGTGCCGTCCATCATCTCCATACAAGTACCTCCATTCTTACAGAAGTCCTCACAATGACCTGCACAGATTGATTCCCAGTACATATTTGACTTTGCTTCATTTCTTAGTAAGACTTCTGTTTGGATGCAAACACCTAATAAAAAAACATTAAGACAATGGAGATTTTAGAAAAGACTGAACCCTCTTTAAGGTGACAAGTAGTTAAACTCACTGTACTGGCACTGGTCACCCAAGAAGCCCTTTGGACAATGGCAGGTTGGCTGGTTGCCCTGGTTGACAGTGCAGTTGCCCCCATTCTGGCAGTAGTTGTTGCAAACATGAAGGTTACATTTGGGGCCAGTGAAGCTAGTCTGACAGCGGCAGGTAGGAGCACCTGAAGAGACGAAACAGAAAGTGTTGCTGATGTAGCTATAAAGATAAATGTGCAGAACCCTGGCCACAACGGCACAACGTGTCTGTGAGTGTGTGTACCTGTGCGTGACGGGGAGCAGGTTCCTCCGTTCTGACAGTAGTCTCTGCACTGGTTGATTTCACAGCGTTGTCCACTGTAACTGGTGGGGCAGCGACATTTGGGCTGGTTCCATGCGTTGAGGAAACAGCTGCCACCATTCTGGCACTGAACATTACATGTAGGAGCTAAAGGAAAAATGTTAAAGATGACTGTCTGAATGAACATATCAAGTTTTATAATTTAATAATGTTGAGAAATGCCTAAGAAATTAATTTATGCTCATGAAGTATCAGAAAAAATATTTTATTTAATATGATAAATGCATTCAATCAAGCTCAAAATGTTTTTTTCCCTATATTTCAGTGTAATAAGTAGCTTCAGCATTGTTCTGGCTGTTGCATAATATGAATTAGGATATAGTGTGAAAGGAGGTTCTTACTGAAGGGGGACTGGGTCGCTGGTGGCACCTCTGTACAGGTACCGTTGTCAGGGATGTGGTCATTAGGGCAGGTGCACACTGGCCCACTGGGACTGAGTAAACACAACCATTCACACTTCTTCCTATCACATGGGTTAGTCACTGTAAAAAAAATACACATTTTAGATAGCAGAAAAAACACACACTCATATTCGCAGTCAGACCCTAAAAAATGTGTCCAAACCACAAACACTTTCACACAGAAACTCACTCTCAGGCTGTTTGTAGCGGTGATATAGGACTATGTCAGTTGCGTGGTTGATGCCAGTGGTCAGATTCTCCGCCTGACCTTTGCCAAACTTGTTAACCCGGAAGACAAAGTTATTGGTGTAGGTAACACCATAAATGTAATCCTCAAAGATATCAATGCTGAAGGGGTGGAGGAGGTCTGTAAGAAATTAAGAGAAGCTGATTAATGTTTAAAATATTACTGTTTTGTACAGTTTCTTTAACCATATAAATGGTAGCCTTTGTGAGTAATAAAAACAAACAAACATTTGAATGGTAGTGTATATTATATTGTAGCTAAATATACATGTTAGCAGATACAGTCAAGGATAAGCTTTAATCCCAGAGCATAATAGCATTACTGAACTGTTTTTGATGTTGGATACAGCCACTACAGGGTCAGAGCCATCCAAACGCACACTGCCAATCATAGAGAGCTTGACATCTGCCCAGTACAGACGCTCATTGAAGTAGTCCACTGCAAGACCTGTTTTAGAGAAGATGTATGCATTAACACATAGATTTGATTTGAAGACAGTGAACTAATTTCATGGATACAGATGGTTAAAAGCAGCATTACGCTGGTAAGACCTGTAGGCCATTGGATGTTCTCATGGACCAGGGTTTGTCTGAGTGTCCCATCCATGGCTGCCGTCTCAATCTTTGGATGATTCCCCCAATCAGTCCAGTACATGGTTCTGATATATGAAACAAAAATGATCTATTTGAAGCGATTGATTCTACTGTAGAATTAAGAAAACATACAGTACAGTATATGCTTCTTACCCTCTCTGAGGATCCACTACAATGGCATAAGGCTCATCAATCATGCCAGAAATCAGTGTCTTCCTGTGCTGGCCTGAAATCTGAGCAACCTCGATCACATCACGTCCCGAATCGGTCCAGTAGAGGTTACCAGCCACCCAGTCTACCGCGATTCCACGTGGCATCTTCAAACCTGGAATCTAAAGAGGAGACAGGGAAAATTCAGAAAAGGTATTGCAAAGCATGAAGCTTAATAATGAACACAGAATGTCTTGACTTACATCGAGGTTGGTGACACTGCCCTCGCTCTGCCTCGTGTTGCGGTGAGAGTTAGACATAGGACCTGACGGTGAGGATGGAGATGGCAGCTGGAAGCAGGAAATGCCAGACGTGTGCCAATTGGTCCAGAAAATGCGGTTGGTCTTGACGTGCAAGTCCATGGCATCGATGCGCACGTTGGCGTCGCCCTGGAATGTCTGCTCATAAACCCACTTGCGCATATCAAGATTTAGACTGCGGATCTCGTTATCATCCGCAATGTAGAGGACCTGTTTACTAATGTTTTGACCTGCAGATACACGCAAAAATGTTTTCCATAGGTGAATCCATTGGAGAGCATGCACAACTCTTAAGGCAAAGTGATTTAAAGAATAAAATCAGCACATACTGTCAGCCTTGCATGTGTTGTTAATCCTGGTGAAGTATTTGTGGCAGCTGCACTTGTAGGAGCCTTTGGTGTTGTTACATATGTGAGAACACATACCAAACTGCTTGCACTCATTCTTATCTAAAAAGAGAACACAACAATTTATCAAATGCTGATTTGCAGGTGGTGATAACCTTCACTGACATAAAAAGAAAGTCGTAAGCCTTTTTAAGATTGCAGACTAAGTACCTTCACAGGTGTTGTGTCCAACGTTCTGGAAACCCTGTTTGCAGGAGCAGAATGTGTCTGTGCCGTTGGAAATGCAGTGAGCCTCATCACCATCTCCACATAGAGATTTGTTACTCTTACAGTCATTCAGCATGGTGTCTACAAACACACAGACAGACACATGAAGTCAATTCAATCAGGATTTAAGAGCCCTTTCTAAATATCAAACTATAAAATCAAAGCGGATTTTATCCACAAAGATGGACACTGGCATTATGAGAAACTATTAAATGTAGATGTGGGATTCCATATAGATGGCAGCATCTTACCTGTCTTGCAGCCAATCTCATCTGATCCGTAATCTTCACAGTCATTAAAGAAGTTGCACCGCAGGTTGGCACTGATGCATTTGCCATTGCTGCACTTGAACTGGTCTTTATCGCATGTGGATGTGTGGTCTCCTATATAAACATGAACCATGTCGCACAGGTCATGAAAACACTCAGTGAGTCTGATATAAAATCATCGAGGCACGTCAGAGCAGAAGACTCACCACAGTTGGTCTCATCTGAATTGTCTCCGCAGTTGTCCACACCATCACAGCGCTTGCCACTCCTGAGACATACGCGATTATTCCGACAACGGAAATTTCTAGTGGGTGGGCACTGGAAGTTTCCTGAATTATAGAAAGGAAGAAATTTACAGTTTGAGCTTGCCATGGATTAATGTTATTTTTCTATTCATCACCAACAAAACATTGCAAATGAATTGTAAATATTTGTCATGGACGCTGATCATTTTTATTACAATTCAACTGTGTGTGTGAGTTCTTACTGCATTCCTCAGGGTTCTCATCGGAGTTATCTCCACAGTCATCCTCCCCGTCACACTTCCAGGACAGCGGCTTACACAGAGTGTTATTACACTGGAACTCATCATTGGGGCAGTGCCGTGCCACTGAAAGAGAGCAATAAAAAAGTGAGATACTTGCGATTGTATTTTAAAAAGGACATTTGACACATAAATAAGCCCATTTCAGAAAGAAGCAGACATGCATACTCACCAGAAATATCACAACTCGCTTCATCACTGCCATCAATACAGTCAGCATCAGCGTCACAGTGCCAGCGAAGTGGGATACAGTGACCATTCTTACACTGGAATTGATCCTCCTCACACTTCAGATCACAGCCATGCTGAGAGACACAATAATATATGTACTGAGTTTAATATGTAATATTACAATTAAGTGCTGAGTGCCACAAATGGACTTACTATATGTAATAACCACAAAAACCAACCAGCTAAAGAAACCTAAACTACATTTATATTTCTTAGCTCATATTTTAGTTGGAAGCAACAACTACAATTGTCTTAAATATAAATTCAGCTGTTTGCACTCTCATTCTGACGGCACCCATTCACTGAAGATGGTCTTTTCTATTGAAATTAGAAAATTGGTGAGCAATGTAGATTGGTGAGCAATGTGATGTAAAATGTAAATTTCTCCAAATCTGTTCTGATGAAGAAACAAAGTCATTTACATCTTGGCCTGAAGGTGTGTACATTTTCAGCAAATGTTAATTTTTGGGTGAACCATTCCTTTGAAATGCTTACCTTTGTAAAGAAATTAATATGCAGAATTTATTTTCGTCTACAAAAGGTTTTTTAAATCATGAGAAATAAAAATGTGTGAAGTGTGTTCAAACTAATGACAAAGTTTTCCATATAATTCAGGAAGAATAATTTGGTTCGCTAGGAAATTCATTTCAGGGAAAATGGAGGAACATTGCATTTAAGCACTGAATAAATGGTCCCTTGATAATTGCAGTTTATAGACTGGCTATACCCAATTTATATGAGATGGTGAAGCAGGCCAGTGAACTGCAGTACCTCATCAGATCCATCTGAACAGTCATGATCTCCATCACACTTCCACCTCCCAGCAATACAACGGCCGTTAGTGCAGGCAAACTCACTTTCAGAGCACTGACGTGGCACTGGTAGGGTGAGAGAGAGAGACATAAATGTTAATATTGAAGAAAAAAAAAACAGACAGCACAACAACTACAAGGAAAACAGGAGGAAAGAAAGGGACACATTTCAAGACAAGGTCTATAGGTCAGCTTAGAGAGCGAGAAAAATTACCAACACATTCAGGGTTCCCACATAATGATGATCAATTTTCAAAAGAAATGATTTTTTTTATATATATATATATATATATATATATATATATATGCAAAGATTTAAAAAAAGCTTTCACATTGTCATTATGGGGTATGGTTTGTAGAATTGGGTAAAATTATTAATTTAATCCATTTTGGAATGAAGCTGTAACATAAAATGTGGAAACCGTAAAGCCCTGTGAATACGTCCTAGATGCACTGGACTCTCCTGTCGGAGATTTGGTGTTCTGATTGGTCAGATCTCCTGTCAATCACACAGTACGATGATGACCATGGGAATCCTACAAATTAGTTCAGAATCATTATAAACACTTTCATTTTAAAGACAACAAAACCACAGTTAACAAAACAAACCCAAATCAAACTTTATTCAAGTTTCAAGATCTGAGCGTATAAACAGAAATGTTCACTGCTAGAAGCTTCACTATTTAATTTCGAGGAGGAAAATGAACTATATAATTTCTCCACCAGGGAGCAGAAGCAGCAATTGGCCACTTCTGTCATAAACACGCATGGAATCATGAGGAGATGAGAAGAGAGGAGAAGGAAAGGGAGCCAGGAATAGGTAGGTGGTTTGGAGGGAGGAGAGACCTACCTCTGAGTCAAGCCAATGGGTCAGTGTGAAATGAAGAATAGAGACAACATGATGTGAGATGCATCAGTGAGCAATGTGAGTGAGCCATGACATAGGAACAATACCCACAATGCCTCCCACAGACATACGTGATAGTCAAAAATAATAATAAACCACTAGATTCACTCCTATAACTGGCGTACATGCAGTCTCAGGTGTGTGAACAGGAAGCAGTAACGCTATGGTCATTGTCAGTTGAGATACATACCGCACTTCTCCTCATCTGAGTTATCGCCACAGTCATTGTCATAGTCACATTGCCAGCGGCCCGGCACGCAGCGGTTGTTCTTACAGCGGAATTGGTACGGCTCACATGTTCTCTCATCTACTTCAAGAAAATACGATGTAATTATTCACTTTTTTCAAATTAAACAAAATAAAGAGAATAAAATTAATCATTTGTATTCACTTCCACGACAAATCAACATTTTTTAATTAATAAAAGGTATAAATAGAGAAAATAAAGGCTGTCGCACCACACTCCTCTTTGGGTTCATCTGAGCCATCTCCACAATCGTCCTCTCCATCACATGTCCAACGGGACGGGATACAGCGGCCCGAGTCCTTACAGAGGAACTCATCCACACCGCACTTCATCTGAGCTGCAGAAAACACAAACAGCTTGAATTAGGACTGTCAGTCGATTAATCATTTGATTTATTTGGTTATTTTATGCTATATTATAATCTAAGGCTATTTTTGTATCAAGAACAAGATAAAATCAGTTAAAAATAGGTAAATAAACTATTAACAGACATAAGTAGTGCTGTTAAATCAATTAATTGCGATTAATTGCATTCAAAATAAGTTTGTGTTTACATAATGTGTGTGTACTGTGTATATTTATACGTATATATAAAGACACACACATACATGTATAGATTTAAGAAATATATATAATATATGTTTAATATAAATCATATGTAAATATGAATATAACTATGAATATAAACTTGTAAATATATAAATACATATATATATATATATATACACATATACACACACACACACACATA